ATGTCACCTGGGACTCTAGCCAATTGTCCTGAACACGTGGGGTCTTTTTCAGAGATGGAGACAGAGGTTAGTTCACGTAGCTCGCCTAGTGAACAAACTTCAGTCCGAGTCTGTTTCTTTGAAAGTACGACTTCATGTGAAGGTAGTTTATAAAACAGGCAGGACAGTTGCAAATAAAAAATAATAATAAAGTCGCTAGAAATAAATGTTTGCTTCTTGCTTTCCAGTATATACAATCAATTATGACGGCAAAGATAGAGATGCATTTCCCCTGACAGGAAACATACATCGTCACAAAGGCAACTGTGGCTCATTCGAAAGCAAAAGCAGTTTTAGCTTTATTATTTTTTCTAAATACTGGATATGCGGGAATGACATGTTAACAAGAGTAACCACGTTCAAAATACTATAAAAATAATAAAAATGTCTAGCTTATGTGCACACCTATTCTTGACGTAGTAAAACCATTAATCACATCACATAATTGAAACTTGTTTGCACTTGGAGCTGCTGAAGGCTTTTTTTTTCTGGATGTCCCAGGCTTCCTGGGACCCACAGAGCACAGAAGGAGAAGAAGACTCCGTTAAGCCTTCAAAGATGGGAGGGAGCCCGAAGCCTTGCAGTTCATGACGGCGACCTTCAGCAAGGGGTGGGGTGAGGACGGACCATAACTGATGATAACTGTCAGTACCACCTGAAAAACAAGACGGACGACATGCCACATGAGGGCGTGTGTATGAAGAGTTTTCGATCTCTTTTGGTGATGATTGATTGACTGTAAAAACTCGCTGTTGTTTATTGGGGCGTGACAGCCAGAGAGTGATGGATAGATTATGAAATAAGGAGAGTCTACTTTAGGAAAAATACACCGTACATGTTAAACTATCTTTAGACACATTCTAAAGTCAGCTCCATACACTTCACACTCTTGTCTTTCCTGTCGAGATGGTTCTCAGGCCGTTGGAAACTCAGATGGAGACTTTTCCTGGGGAAAGGGCTTTCGAATGAATCTGCCTAGTTGAATTGTCTGCTGCTACTTTTGTTTGCCATCAGATGGTGTGAGCTGGGCGCCGGCTCATGGCACTTGGTTGTGAGGCTGGGGTGGCTTCTTGCCTCCTGTAACAGGATAGGAAAGTAGTGTTTATCGGCTGGTTGTTGTAACTGGGGGCCTTTTTCTCTTGCTCAGCTATGTAGTACACTATCCGAAGCCATGCAGTGACCCAAGCGGGGAGAGATGGAGAGAAGGAATGAGGCCCGGGCCTGGGATCGTCCACCCGTAGGATGAAAAGCTTCTGCTGACTGTCTCTTTCAGAATCACTTCCAACCCGATTTTATGAAAACTGAGTGTCTCTGTCGTTTAAAGGTGGGCATTGTGGACTTCTCAAAAAGAGAAGGCATTTTTAAAATTTCAAATTTTAACTATAGATGTGAGAGAACCTGTTTTGAAAGACAGGTCGACAGGGTATAGATAAAAGAAGCGAACTCTTGACAGGTTCAATTTCAAAAAAAATGAGACTCCCTGCCCCGACTCTACCACAGCGCCTGGACCTCTGCTGACCTTGGCACTCGTTAAGGTGAAGCTGACCGACAGTAACGGGCTTTTCTGCCGACGGGACTGCCACCTCAGTGCCTCGCTTTGCTTCCTCTCTAGCAGTTGGGATTTATTCCATTGGTCGTGGGGCAGGAATCCTCGAAAAACCAAGCCCTCTAAATACCCATTTCCACGTTGGCCCAGTAGCCCAGAAACACGTTGCCGAAGGCTGCCCAGCTGGACTGGAGATGTCAGATCTAGGAGGAATGGGTTTCCTTGGCTGCAAAGACAGCCCCTAGCGGAGGCCACACGCCACCACCGCGTGGCTGAGGATGTGATTCTGCCACCTTACGGTCGATAAGCCCTTGGAGCCAGGAGGTGGTAAAACGTGGTCTTGCGGATGTGCAGAGCGGAAAAGTGAAATAATCGTGGTCTCTCACTTCCCGGGGCAAGTCCACAGGAAACGAAACAGCGCCCAGCTACCTGGCGGTTTGGAGGAGATGGTTGGAATCTGCCAAAATGCGTGAAGCTGAAGCCAAACAAAGCGAGTCTTCTTGTAGCCAGAGCCTTTGCTCCAGGCGTGTTCACACGCCGGGTCGGCAGCATGGCTGGGACTCAGCGAACTTTCATTAATCTTGAGAGTGAATCCTGGCGATCAGGCTTCTGTTCATCAGGGGAAGATACAACAGCACTCGCTCCCCCATCCCATACTGGCAGGTACTCAGAAAGCACAGGGCGAGCTGACAGAGGGTATCTGAGCCATGGGGAGGGGCCGGAGTGGGAGGGTGGACAAGGGCAGGGCTTCTTTAATGTCACGGAGACTCTTCTGGAAGTGCGCTTCCGGCCGAGGAATAGATCCGCAGTTCATTTTCTTGTTGGTGGAGCATCTCGGCTTCGCCCGCCCCAAATGTTCAGCCTCAGATTTGTATTGGGAAGCTTGGGGTGGGGGTGGGGGGAGAAATGTCTATTAAAACTCTGTCCTTGATGAAAATCAATTTGAAAATTACCTCGAGTGATTTTTCTGCAAAGAAATTGTATTGCTTTTCCTACGCAAAACTATTGCTGTTAGCAAAATGCGTGCTTTCAGTTGGTTGGCTAAAAGGGATACTTTGTAGTAAACCAGTCAAATACCCTTTTGCCAGCGCTCTCTCCCTGTCTTGCTCGCTCTCTCTCCCTCTCTCTCTCTCTCTCTCTTTCTCTCTCTCTTTCTCTCTCTCTCCCTCTGTCTCTTTAAATTGAGGCATCCTGTTATTGCAGGGACAGCTGGCTGGGGGAAGGCGTGCAGTCCTGATGTGGCATGGATCCTCTGGGTGAGAAATCAGCTCATGCACAAGGTCCCCCCCTCCCATCTAGAAGCAAGTGACTTAGTATCCCTAGACTTCAGATGCGTTCGCCAGGTTATAATTAGCTCCCTCCATTGAGAGCCTTGACGAATCTCTGCCTTGGAGGAGGTCTTGCCTGAGCCATGGAGAAAGTCTGTAGTGTGTGTGCGCGCATGTGTGTCACATATGTATGTGCATGCGTGTCACGCATGTGGGTAGGTTCTTCCCAGCGCCTCGCATGTGCGTGCGTGTGCCACACATGTGCTCTGTCGCATCACATGTGTGCCGTGTGTCACATTATATGTATGTTTGAGAGCAGCAACTGCAGTGGATGTTGAGAACCTGATCGCCTTCGGACGCCCTCCGTTTCTCCCGAGAAGTGGGGTGCTGGTTAACATTAGGAAAACAGCCGAGCCGTGCTTATGTTATACGAGAACCATTTGGGCTTCTCGTTACAAAATAATACCCATGAGAAAAAATTTCAGCGCACTCAGTGACGACCATACTCCCTTGTCCGGGGACAGGACCCTCACAGGAATGGACACTGCAGCCATCTGCGGGGCCAGGGGAGCACCTGCTCCTTGGCAGTACCTGGCGGGTTTACAGGCAGTCCCGGAGAGCTGACCACGTGCCTTCCTCTTTTGGGACCAGACGTTTCCCCTCAGGGCTCCCACACTGGCCACTTGGTAATCTGTTCTTTGTAAGGACCTGGGACACCTGTATCTGCTGTTCCAGGGTACACCCGCCTTATTTGGTGGACTGTAGCCCACCCCCTCTCTCTCTTCCGTGACTGTTACTGCAAAGAGACCTTCTCCATGGCTTAAACAATTGGAGGCCCCAGGCACTGAATACCTGGAGTGGGCCGGGCTGTGGGAAGCCATTTCAGATTTCTCTTTAAGGGGGCCTTGCGTTGTGTTCCTCCGTGGGCTTTTCTCAAAAGATAGGGCAATTTTATCTCTAACCAGTACACTCCTTTCCTTCCTCCAGCCCTACCAGGATCAGGATGGCAAGCGAGCCACCTCTCCTGACCAGACACCCACATCCTGGCAAAAAGGTCTTTTTCTCCCCCTGGTCTCCTCTGGTCTTTGCCAGAAAAGAAGAGATGAGAAAAATGAAGCCTCTGCCCTTCTCCATATCAATCCCTCTCCACCCACCTGGAGCTGAGTGTGTGTGTCATCAGCTCTCTCATGGTTAACATCTTTGTCCAGCGGGAGGCAGACGTTCACCGAGCCTTGTGATAAGCCAGACCATTTCGTTTAGTGATATTATACTCACCTTTAATCTTAGGAGAGTCAGTGATGTTTTATGTTTGGCCTGGCTGAGTCTTGGTTAATATTTAGCTCTGGTTTCAAGCATAGTCCAGATACAGAAAACCTGACACGGTTTTCTAAAGTAGAGAACAGGATGATCCGCCAGTGTCTGATCACTGCTGAGTTAAAGGAAGGGGTGGGCAGTCATTGAGTTGAGAGTGGCAGTCGGGGCGGGAGGTGTGAAAGTTTGTCCTTGAGCTGTTATTCTCAGCCCTAATGGTCTGCCAACTCAGATAAGAGAGCTACAAAAGGTTTTCAGCTTTAAGTAGAATACGGTCCCTCATGCCTTTCTGGATGAGCTGCTGGAAAATAAAATTAGAGACTCTGCCTATGGGAATGTTCCCAGAAATTTACTTATTAGAGGCGAAACAACCACTTAGGTAAAGGTTTCCTCTGATAGAACATTAGATAGGAAATTCAGTGTTTTTGAATCTGGCAAAAATGTGGATTAGACAAGTGATTGATGCTAAGTCAGATGCTTAGCTTGCCAGCTATCCTGACTCTTATGATACATGGCTCAGAATCCCTATCCAGATCTTCCCAACCATATGGGTGAACTTGATTATTCTCCTGTCATCTTCTTCACAAGACCAAGGTTCCTTTCTGCCTCCCATGATGACTTTACTGTCTTGAGGGAGCAGTCACATTTGGAGCTGACGAAGAACACGTATGCCGACGGCCATTTACTTCCTGCCTCTCTCGATGACCAGACTGCACGCCTCCCCAACACGGGGCTCCCCTCTGGGGCAGCTGGGGCCGAAAGCTTCAGTGAGCAACAGTCATATTCGGTCATGGAGAAGAGGTTGAATTTGTGTAAGCAAACAGACTCCAGTTCGCTGCCAGCTCTGGAAGTCCCCGTCTACCGGTTCACATTTTCTCCTCTGCAGACCATTCACATCTCAATTATGAGAGGAGGCCGTCGAAGTTGTTGCACAGAAACCCAAGCGGTAAAATTCCGCTCCGTCATGAAGGAAAGGTCGGCTCAGGACCTTCAGCAGCCGCGGCGAACAGAGGGTGACTCCTCCGCCTTCTCGGTTTTCTCCTTCTTTATAAGAACAAGCAGGGGCAGGAAACGCAATGTCCTTCCGCCATCCCGTGTTCTTTTCCTCGTGTCTTCCTAGACTGTCCCAAGCTATGGCATGAACCCTACTGGAGTTTCAGATCCATGCCCGGTATTACTGCGCTCTCTGTGTTACTGAAACACACGCTGACATCATCCCACACGGGCCACGGTGCCGTGTGCTCTCTCGCGATGCCTTTCTCACTGCATTCACTTCGGTTGCATCAGCTCCTGACTACCCACACCGATGGGCAGCGAGTAGTAACTAGCAAAGTGCACGTGCTCAGCTATCCTAACATCAGTGGAATGCATTACTTGTTATTCCCGTCCGGCATCCAGCAGATTGATCTTCATAATTAACTGTTGAGTGGAGGCCAAGATTAAATTTTGGAATTAAAGATTGTGTTAGCATTTAACTTAAAACGTCTATTCCCTCTTTTGGATAAAGAAAACAACCAGAGAGGATGTCATGGGAAAGAGATCTTTCAAGAAGCGGGGAATACCTCTTCAAATAGTAGAAGCTGTGGAATTAGAGCCTCAATCTTCAAGGCCCTGTCTTTTAGCCTTAGAACTCGCCTGCTGGTGAGTATGCACCACGTACTGGGGATGCATTTCATTTCGAGACTTGGGACCCCGGCTTTGGACCCCGGCTTCCTTGGAGACTGTCCCTCTGATCACGGGGCCAGGAGTGTCATAGAGTTACTCTGTCCGTTTTGCAATTATTATTATTATTATTATTATTATTATTTATTTTTACCAATTCTCAGTCCCTCGGAATCACTTTCCTAAGTAAAAATTGGCATTTATTCGGAGACCCTGGAATGTCTCATACTATAATAATGGTAAAGTGGGGTTTAGAGCATTTCATTCCAAATCGTTGCTTGTTTTTATGACGCTGGAGGGAGAGAGGAGTCACTCTCCATCAGTTGCGGGTTCACTGAGCTCGGAGCTGACTCTTCCTTAGCGATGGCGTGGGATTTCCCTGCATGCATTTCTGTGTAACAGTGTCCCCTGTGGTCTCACCTTGTAATTGTCCCTGTTTTTATTTTTGCATGATTCATTTCTCTATCATAAATCTTATCAAACACGTTTTTTCTGGGCCACAGTAAGTACTTTTAGCAACCAGGTGGCATGGACGATATAGACAGCTAGAACAGAGGCAGCACCTTAACAGCGAGAGCGACGGATCGAATGCTTTGTCGTTCTCACAAACGGCCCGAGTGTAGGGAGCCGGAGGAGGCAAGTTCATTGTTAAACACGGTAAAATCTGTATGCGGGACACTAAGAGGGAGGATTTCACATGAATCCAGAGATGACGGCATCCGGACAGACCCTCGAGTGTAGACTTCTGGACACTGTCAATGAAATGGGCGTCGTCCCGTTTCTTATCACTTGGACATGAGCCCATCTACAATTTCGGGACCAAAAAATAAGGCCACTGATGGCACGAAGTGCCTGTCTATGACAGTACTTGAGGAATAGCTGAGTCTGTGGCCTTGAAAGTGAGACACGGCCATACCTGTGACAGGATGGGGCACCCCCGTGCACGCACACCCGTATACCCTGCCTGTATTGCTATGTGTTTAGTGGCTGGTGCGTGTGCTTACGTTTTGGGAACAATGTCTTCGGGTCTTTAGCGTGCATTGTGGTGTTCATAGTGCTCAGCGTCGTACTGAGTCCTTAAAAAACCCCTTTTAGGAATTGCTGATTTACATTTCCATTGGGAAGCCACGTCTGGCATTAAAAAGATAATAATTTGCATGGTTTTTAATCAAGATGTAATTTTGCTTTATTCTTGTTCATTTATTTTCACGATGGGGAGAATAAAGTTGTTTCCCTGCAAGAATTATAGTCTGTTTTTTGCCTTTCATGTTAGTGATTTCCAATCCTCCCTCCCTTAAGTTGGCTCCCTAAGAAAAATTAAAGCAATTCAAGAAGAAAAAAATGCAATCTTATAACAAAGCCAGCCTCGTCCTGATAAATACAATGATTGATGACCATAACCATGGAAGTCTTTTTGGGTAAATGCATAATCCTTTGATTATATCTAAGAAGAGGAAACAAATGAATTTATGTTCTGGGTCCTCAAACACCTTTTCTCTTCCCCCTCTTACTTTGATGTGGCTCGTCTGAAATAAATGAAGGAAATGCCTAGTGGCGGAGGCTGTTTTTGTGAGGCTGGACGCTTGCACAATAGAAGGGGCACCCTTTAAGAAAAGGAATACAAAAAATATCTTTCTTTTATAATGTTTTATAGAAACACATGGCCACGTGAACATACTGCCCAAGCAAGCAAGACCCCTGAAGCTTAAACTTTTATTGGTTTCGTGGATAGTCCATTTCTGGGGGTACCATATAGTAAATAACATCTACCTGCACTATGCACACTTGGATTTGAACACAAGAAATGTAGATAATGACTGTACAGGGGCTAGTAGGCATATACAAGTATAAACGTAAGAACACAAGATGCATATGGGGTTTTAAACACACAGACAGACAGATACCGTTTTCTATCTTTGTCAGACCTCAGCATCTCAAAGGGTCATATCCAGGCATGGTCGCCTCTTTTCCAGACTGTGAATTGTCTGGCTGAATTTAAACGTTCGCTTTAAAGGGGAGTAAATCAGTTTAATGCATATCATTCGCTCAGACAAGCCGACTCAGACGCTGTTCTCTGACTGAACCCATGCCGCACAAATTCGTATTCTAGAAGCCAGGTGTGATGGGCGGGAGGAGAGCGGGTGGGGGTAGGGTGCACGCCGCCAGTGGGCAGAGTGCGTTCGATTCATCTGTTCTTCGGGCAGTTCAGATACTGGTCTGGAGGTCTCCATTGAGGAGGGTTCTCTGGGTCTCTGTGGTCTCGTTCAGTCGGGATTTGTCCTGCTTACTGTCGCTCCGTTCCCCGTCATCTGTGCCGCTCACCTTGACCAAGCAGAGGACATTCTGGAAGCTCTTCTTGAAGTTGTCAGACAAGAAGGCATACAGGATGGGGTTGGCACAGCTGTTGGCATAGGTGAGGACCACCACAAAGTCAAATATGCCTTTTAGGGCCGGGGTGGGACTGATGGCCACGGAGACCGAGGAGACATTGAATATGTAGAAGGGGAGCCAGCAGAAAATGAAGACAGCCACCACGATGGACACCATCCGGGTGACCTTCTTCTCGGACTTTTTCCTCTTGGAGGAACCCACTCGGATTCCAGAGGACTTCACCTTGATGATAATGAACAGGTAGCAAAGACAAATGATGGTGAGGGGTACCAGGAAGCCCAAGATGAAGGCGTAGATAATGAAGCCTGTGTACCATGCCCCAGATTCACCTGGCCAGTTAATGGTGCAGCTGCTTCTCCCCCACTGGTTGCTCCGAAGCCCAGCGTATATCATGATAGGCAGGATGACCAGCAGAGAGAGTCCCCACACAGCCACGTTGATCATCTTGGCTGTCCGGGGTCTCCTCCACTTGGCCGACTTGATGGGGTGGACCACAGCCAGGTATCGGTCAATGCTCATGACTGTCAAGCAGAAAATGCTGGTGAACTGATTGATGCCATCCACAGTCATGACCACCCGGCAAATGGCCTTGCCGAAGGGCCAGTGGACCAGAGCCACCTGCATGGCCAAGAAGGGCAGACCCAGCATGAAGAGCTCATCTGCGATGGCCAGGTTGAGGATGTAAATGTTGGTGATGGTCTTCATCTTGGCATAGCGAAGGATGACATAAATGACAAGCGTGTTGCCACACAGCCCAATGATGCAGACCACAAAATATATGAACGTGAGGACGGCGTTGCTGGTCAGGTCATAGTACGGCTCTGTCTGGTTTGAGCTGTTGGCTGCCGCCCCGGAGCCATTGAGGTCAAATGGAGAGGAAAGCCATGGCTGGCTCCCATTGAATGGGTCATACGCCATATCCATGACTGCTTTGTAATTTTAGGCTATAGATGTTATTCTCACCTTAATGGGTCCTGGAGGCAAAGGATCCACTGTGTCATCTGCAAGGGAAAGGGAAGATTGGCCATCAGTCAGAGGCTACTTAAGCTCTCACCAGCTTTCCATGTTTCTGGTTTACCCTCTCAGACTTAATCTTCCACGGAAAAGTGTATCTTCCTACATCAACGTAGAGCTACCAGCCCATTCTCATCAGTGTGCAGAATCTTCGAGTTGTTTTTCCAATAGTGGAGAGGGGTCTGGGTTTAGCTACCATACTTTATCTTGTCATCTTTGGTGACACACGTGTGGGAGATGCACTAGCTGCAAAAAAAAAAAAAAAAACAAAAAAAAGTACTTGGATCCCTAAGAAGCTGACCGGTTCAAACAGTAAAAAGGCAGAGCTTGGAGAAGCCCAGCCTCTGACCTCGGAGGGTCTGACACCGGCGTTCTTGGCCTGTCCTCGTGAGGAAATCTATGCTGATCTGCCGACTTTGGGGCTTTTCCATTCTGAAAACTCAGTAGTGGAAAAATCCACTTGAGAGGTAAAACAAACCAAGCCCGTGTGACCTTGTGTCCTGCACCCCCATTTGTTAGAATGGGGGTGTCACGATGACATGTGTGTGAAAACACCCTACATTGTGCAGGGCTCGAAATCAGAGCTTGGTAAGGGTTCTCCAACCCCTGTTTTTCTTCTACCATCTCGTTTATCTCTGTTATTGAACTCTGCCTGCATAACGAACTAATTTAGTGTTACGTATTTTTAAAAACCTGGCTTGCTTTCATTTTTTTTAAAATGTATGCATTCGTTTACTTTCGTTTCTCCAGGACCCTATGCTTGACCTCCTTAGTCCCTCGGAGCCCTGTCTTAAAGTCCCTCAGCACGATGCTGCTCCTCAAGGCGTGTCTTCTGCCACCCCGGAGAATTTGCCTGCGATCCTCTGACTAAGGACCAAAACAAGAGCCAGGCTCATTCACACGAGTGAACAGAAGGTTGCAGACACTGATGCAGCTCATTCACATTCACGGTCCCCTTGGTCTTCCCAGCTACCCTGTGAGGTGGGGATAATTGTCTCCATTTTACAGACGAGGAAACCGAGGCTTAGAGAGTTTAAGCAGCCTGCTCCCATCCCCTGTACATAATTAGCAGAGCTGAGATTTGAACACGGGACACCCACATCTTCTGCACTCTTCACAGCATCATGTCGGCTGCTTTTCAGTGGACTGGAAAACTAGCAGCTGATAATGGGGCTTTGGTTCGAAGCAGCTGACTCCTGATTTCCCTCCTCGCTGAGAAAATAACGGTAACACTATCGGCTTGGCTTAAGATATAAAGCAGTAGCTTATCACATACTTAAATTAATTACCTACAGCCATTCAAAACCCATCACTGTGGACTTCTTTACTCTGGACACCAGGGATGCAGGAGTGAACAAGACAGGGCTGGTGCCCTCTAGGAGGTGACAATTCAGTAGGGCAGACTGGCCAGGAAGCCGGCTCAGCTAGGGTACGCATGGCATCGAGATGCGAACAAAGGACTTAAGAATGCCTTTCCCTCCTCGGGGATTCCCAGGAGGCTTCGTAAGAGGAAAATGCTTGAGCTGGGTCTCGCATATGTCAAGGCTGAAGCAAGGAGGTCATTCCAGGAAGAGGGAAGGCGGTAAAGGGGTGGCGTGTTCAGCACACAGTGGGAATAAATCACTGAGTGGACACATGTCCCCTGAGCAGGGCGCTTTTCCTGGTGCCTGAGTGAAGCCTGGAGATCGCTCCTTTGTGCTTGGAGAGACTCCTGATGACTGAAAGGGGACTTAGCCAGCCACACGAGTTCTTGAGGACCCTTGGCCACCTTTGCCTCTGATTCATTTTTGCGCTGCCAGGCGCATTGCGGGTTCTTTCTGTGCTACTCGCCCCGCTGTCTATAAAGTGGAGTCTGGGCTTTGTGGCTGACCTTTCTGCAAAGTACTTTGGGGGACCTGGGATTTAATATCTGCATTGGGTAAAAAGCATAAACTGGCAGCTATTAAAAACAGGAGCTGTAAAGAAACCATTTTTTTCGTATCCCTAGATTAACTTGAGTTGTTTCCGCTGTCATTTCTAACCGTCTCATCAATTTAATTCTGCGGACCCAGAATCCTATTTAAGCCGCCTGCATTAGAGTGTGATTCGTCACTAGCATTTGCAGGGTCTCGGCTGTGTAATATGCAATGTCACATGTCCAATGTCTCGATTAGACTGAAGACCCCTGGGCTGCAGAAGCCCTGTCTGGTGCTTTTGGTATAGGGACGATGGTGGTGCAGGCATGCGAGGGAGGGTTGACTGCTGACCTCCAGCCTTAATTCTGCTTTTTTGGCTGGAGTCTCAATACGTTGGAACTGCATGGGGTCATTTTTTTTTTTTTTTTTTTCCCGAAATAGGCTGAGAAGTAGCATCTCTCCACTTTTGAGAAAGGCAACAATGGATGGGGTTCAGAGCCTGGTGAAGGTGGCAGAGGTGGTCAGCTGGAAAGCCAGTCTGGATTGGGAAGTCTTCCCCAAGGAAGACGTGAATGTAAATCACAGTGAGTCTTATTTCATCAGCAATGAAGTCAGCTGCCTCAGGTCTCTGAGTGACTTCTGCTTCATTCAGGCTTCATCGAAGTTGGAGTTCAATGCCAGGCAGTCAATATTGTTGAATTGTGGTTAAATTAAATGCACAGGGAGTTCGGTTTCGTGCTTTTTAATTTTTCCAGCCTAAGAACTGTTAGACAGTGGAAATGGCTGGCTGTTGGTTTTCTCTGACACTGGGTCCCAGCTCTGTTGGAGAGGAGGGTGAGAATGGTCTCACCATCCCCAGCCCTTCCCAGAGGGGCTGTGGTTACCAGCCTCAGAACTGAGTGTCAGGATGGAGCCCAAGCATGGGGCGGGGGCGGGGGCGGGGGCGGGGGGTGATGCTAAATCCTACTGCGCTTCCGTTTTTCCTTTCTCTCCAATATTTTTCTGTTATTCAGCCCCCACCCCCTCTTCTCTCAGGGTTTGCTAAACCCGAGTGGATCTGGGGTGGCTGGAGCGTGAGCCCTACTGGCGGGGAGAGACAGATGCAGGCCACTGTGGGCGCTAGAGCGCCCAGGAGGCGCTGGCCAAGGGCAGGGGAGAGGTGAGACTGGGGACCGCCCAGCTGGTTCCCTGCGCTGGCACAGAAAATCCTCCCTCTGGCCATCTAACTCGCTGACCCTCAGCCCCAAGGGTTTCCTAAGGAATCCCCTGCAATTTCCAGGAGGACGAGGGGGAGGTTGAAGACGGTCATGCCAGGACCCTTGTCTCTAAACACAAAGGAGGGGCGAGGCGGCAGAGACGCCTGAGAGTGGGCGTCAGCGCTCGGGGACTTGACTGGCGGCTCCCGGACGCCAGGCGCTCCGCGGTCTCCCTCCAGACCTCGGCAAACTGTCCTCTCGGCCCGCGCGGCGGGGAATCGGACCCTAAGACCGTCCGGGATGCGTCCCCCACCCGGGCGGGGAGGAACAGAGAGAAGCCAAGCCCCTCCTGTCTCCTGTCTCGGCTCCGCCGCCTGCGCCTCAGAGCCTCGGGCACGGGGTGCGCGCCCGCAGGGCCCCGGGCAGCGACCCCTCGTCGGCCTCACTCTCCCCGCGTCGGGCCCCTTTGAAGGCGGCTGGGAGAGAAGTTGTCCCTGCTGCAGCTACCACCTGGCCGCTCGGCGGGGGCACGAGGACCGGACAAGGGCGCACGCCACGTACACTGACATACGGCCGTGTGTCCGGACCCGTCGGTTCCAGCGCACGCGATCCACAACCCCGACTCACGCCGGGACACCCGCAGTCATTCATTCCCAGCCAAATCACCCCCAAATGGCACGAGCGCGGAGGACCGCGCACTGGGACCTCGCGGTGCGCCGCAGATGCACCCAGGTGCCCAAGTGCGCGACTGGTTTCCTCTGACACACACACACACACACACACGCACACGCACACACGCACACACACACGCACACACACACACCCCTCACCTTCGCTTTTCCGCTGCAATCTGCTAGCTCAGCTCGTCGGCTGCCCCCAGCCCGGCAGTGCGCCGGGCGCGCAGCAGCTTGGCCGGCACTCGGCGATGGGCGTCCGCACCTGCCGCCTCCCGCTCGCTCCTTGCGCCTCCGAGAGCCCGGCGGGTGCGCAGACCCCGGGCGCCGAGCGGCGGACGGAGGCGCTGGGTGCAGGTGGCTGGTGGCTGCGCCGCCTGGACTGGCCCTGTGGAGCCCCGGCCCCTCGGCACATTTCCCCACGCCCCCCCTCGGTTACGTCATGGCAGCTTCGCTCCGCCCGCCAGGTCCTGGGGGAGGACGGCCGTGAGCGGGGTGGAGGATCCTGCTGGTGGCCGCGGGCACAGCTCACAGGCGTGTGGAGGGGGGACCCGCATGCGGGGGCGTGAGGGGTCAAGCGACTTCAGTAAGCCTCCCCAAGGCTTGTGGCAGCACCCACGCTGCTTGCCTTCTGATTCACAGAATTGGTTCTTTTTCACCCAGCGTATTCCAGGCAGCTGGAGTGGTGGCGGAGGGAGGGGTGATCCACAGTTGTTTGGGGTGGGGGGAACCTCTGGCATCTCGGTCAGACAGGTGTACAGAGCTATCTACTGTGGGTCATCTCTGGGCGCCGGGCCAGGGGAAGGGCAAGGAGGAAATGTGTGGGGGGCACCCTGCTCCGTGCAGTCCCCAACGTCCCACAGCACACCGTGTGAGCCTGCACTTGGGTTCAAGGAGCAGACAGAGGCTCAGCACCGAGCGACTCAGCCCAACTGTCCCAGCTTTCCACAGCTTGGAGGCGTAGTGGCCCTTCCTTAAGCTGCCCGCTGGCACCTGCTGGTCCAAGCCAGCACAGCCCCTCCCCGTTCCTGCTGTGAGGGAGCAAAGGGGAGCATGCGAGAAGGGGAGCAGTGCCGCATCAGGTTGCGGCTCCTTATTTTTTGAGTGATGATTCATTCAGCCTGCGTTCCAATAGTTTAATAAGTCATAATCGATTCTGCAGCCTCTTCTTCCTTATCCTTCTCCAACACACACACAGACACACACACACACACAC